CAGAATCTGTGCGCACAGACTTTCTTTGGGGTTTTGGAGTTGTTCGTTTAGTTAGTGTCTCGCGAAATCGCTTCCAATGCTGGGATTTACCTATGCCACGGTGGTCCAAGCAAACCCTTGCCAGACGGGAGTAGACGCAATCTGCACCAATGCTCATTGCATCTGATTAAGCGATTGTTAGAAATATGGCTTTTTTCTATTTTTTTTCTCAAAGCTACGAAAAGTTGAGAATGGAATGGGTTGCGGTAGATGTTTGGTAGTTTGTGTTGTGGTTTTCGCCAAAGTTGTGAATTTTGATGTTTCCCTTGATGAATGGGTACGAGGCGAGCCACGGAACATATCGATCAGATGTCTGGTGAACTGAGAGGGCCGGATCTCTGCCCGCGCAGTTGTAGACTGAGGGTGGCGCGTGTAGCCTCGCGTATGCATTTCCCCCAATCTCCAAGGTGACCCTTTCTTTTAGGCAGCCTCCGTTTGAGTGAAACGATTCCAATGAACATGCTCTAAAACCACGCTCCAGAGAGTTCTTAGGATGTTTGATTGGTAATCTCAACCTCCTGTGCCATTGATTCATCTTTCTGAAGGGATCAGTTCGTTTAACATCTGCGCCCGTCTGCTAATTACTTTCGTTAGACATCTGTTCAAAGCGTTTTTTCGATAAGCTGTTAACAAATGCAGCTAATCTTCTCGAATATCAGACGCCATTCTGTCTCCCCTTTCTATCCCCTGCGGCAAGCCGTCTACTTTTGATTTCCCTGCTTTCTTCCATCAATTCAATCAAACCTCCGTGTTCGTAATGTTTTCAGCATTGAGTATATGCCTGTGTACGGTACTGGTTGGTGAACATGGTACAGTACATAGTTTGTTGCAGATAAACTTTTTATCAACATGAGCATTCCGTGCCCGCCGCCACCTGGCGAGGAATCAACGGCATACCAAAGCGGATCTCAAGGCAAGAAGGTGAGCTCGGGTGGTTTTTGGGAACGGCCGAGAGACAGACCTTGTTCATGACCTTATGTTCTTCTTACAGATCCGCATAGGAATATGTGCAATGAATCGTAAAGCAACTAGTAAGCCAATGAGAGCCATCATGTCGAAAATTGTCGACTATTATAAGGTTAGCTCTTAATTTTCAAATCATTTTTATTTATCTGTATGAATATGTGTTTATATACCTTCTTTCCTACCTACTGACTAGAAGACAAAATAGTTTGCGTCGGGCCAAAGAAAGTCCCACCTCGTATCGAGCTAGCTAAAACTGTCAATTGTGATTTCTTATTTGATATCGATAGTGCTGTAATGGTAGTTGATTTCCGGAGAAGACTTTCTGTGGGAATAGACCTGTCATGGAAATGCTCTCTAATCTTTTAACGATAACGACTAATCGGCACGGGCGTGGTGATAACGTGATTGTGATGACACAGCTGGTCGGTGTGCAGTGATCATTTCGGGTTTCCCAAAAGATTGATAGATAAATATTTGCGCAAGTTTCAATGAAAATTACAGGTGGATGTCGGAAAATATGATAAAGAACTTCCGATGCTGTCGAACAGCTGCGATTCCTAAACAGTAGTAATTTATTCATTTTCCAATTTTCCTTTATCCAAAATATGTTACAGTCTGTGTCTGTTCTGTGAGTCTTCCACTGTAACCCTGGTGGTATTGAAGGGCAGCCAATTACTACTTCTTTCGATGTAATCTTTGGTGTTCGGCAACGCTGGTAACTCTCCAAAACACCTTTTTTGACGTACACCTGCCAAACAATTGCATTTGATTGACCTGTTTGTAATAGTTTCTTAAAGTATTAGAAATTGGTTCAGATTTATACGCAGTTTCCCAGAAGCGGGTGATATATGGGCTGTGGTTACTTGGTCTAGACGAGACTTGAAGGTGCCAAAATGTTCGTTGTCGTAGAGATCAGCCGATTCTCAAGTACCACATGTCTCGCTCGTTGCGAGCGCTCGTGATCAATGACGTGAGGAATTCCACCGGAAGCGTGATTGAAGTGACCCGATGAAATTGCAGTAACCTTCGTTTTTCAATTAGTGACGCATGGTTTGTGTAGTAGCGTAAGTATTTTGTTTCGGTCACTGCATAGGAATCCAATCAAGAAGTTAGT